TAGATGTATGAACCTAGCAGAGAAGTAGAGTGTGCTATGGGAGGGATGACTGGTGTCAGAATTGGCAAAAGAGGGTGATGGCATATCTGACCTCTTCCTTATAGGAATAAGCTTTGGGCTGCTGCTGCTGATTTTCTCTACCTTTTGTGAAGTTAGAGGAGGCCAGAAGACACTATCCTCACCCTTTTTTGCTTTGCTTCTAAGGAGCATTCTGGCTATACTTCTTCTAAGACAAATTTGTCTGTTCCTCTGACAGTCCATGTATGATGGTTTATGTTATGTGTCAACTTGGGTAGGCCATGATTCTCAGTGGTTTGGCAGATACTATGTAATCCTCCTCAATTTTGTGATCTAATGTGGGCAGCCAATCAGTTGGGATGGAAGTTTCCTTGGGGGTGTGGCCTGCCTCCAGTATATACAGATGTTCTGACAAAGCTTAAAGCTAAAGAGTTCACACACTTGCTCTTGCTCACTGACTGCCCCCATGTACTCGTCTTGTGGTCTGACCTCTGACTCTTGGAGAAGCCTTTGGCCAGCTGCTTGACTACAGATTTTGGGTTTGTCAGCCCCTGCAGCCACATGGATTAGGAGGAACATTCAGCCTGCCTCCTGACCCACAGATTTGGGACTTGCCAGCCCCCACATTTGTATGAGCCATTTCCTTGAAGTACATCTCTCTATATATAATATTTATATGTATACTTCACTGGTTTTGCTCTTCTAGAAAACTTATAGTCTGCTATGGATTACATCTCAATATAAAGAAAATGAAAATCATCACAACTGGACCAATAAGAAGCATACAATAAATGGAGAAAAGATTGAAGTTGTCAAAGATTTCATATTACTTGGTTCCACAATCAACACCACTGGTAGCAGCAGTCAAGACATCAGATGATGTATTGCACTGGGCAAATCTGCTGCAAAAGACCTTTTTAAAGTGCTGAAGATCAAAGACGTCTCTCTAAAGACTAAGGTACACCTAGCACAAGCCTTGTATTTTCAGTCACCTCATATGCCTGTGAAAGCTAGACAATGAATAAGGAAGACTGAAAAAGAGTTGCTGCTTTTGAGTTGTGGTGTTGGTGAAGAATACTGAAAGTACCACGGACTGCCAGAAGAACTGACAAGTCAGTCCTGGAAGAAGTGCAGCAGGAATGTTCCTTGGAAGTGAGAATGGCCAGACTTTGTCTCACCTACTTTGTCATGTTGTCAGAAGGAACCATTCCCTGGGGAAGGATATCATGCTCGGTAAAGTAGAGGGTCAGAGAAAAAGGGGAAGGCCCTCAACAAGATGGATTGACACAATGGCTGCAACAGTGGGCTCAGGTATAGCAAGGACTGTGAGGCTGGCACAGGACCAGGCAGTGTTTTGTTCTGTTGCACACAGGGTCGCTATGAATTGGAACTGACTCAACAGCATCTAACAACAACAACAACAAAACACCATGGTATATTAACTATTCTTTGTCAACACTATAGTTCAGATGCACCAGTTCTTCATTTTTCCTCATTTATGGTCCAGCTTTCACATGCATATGAATATAAAATTGTTGTTGTCATGTGCTGTCGAGTCGGACCCAACTCCTAGAGACCCCTCCTTGGGTTTCTGAGGCAGTATCACTATGGAAGTAGATTGCCCCATCTTCCTTCTGAGAAGTGGCTGGTGGGTTTGAACCACCAGTCTTCTGGTTAGCAATCAAGTGCCTTAGGCACTCTGCCTACTTTTCACCTTTGTATAAATGGAATCATACAGCATGTTATTTTGTGTGTGTGTTTGGCTAATTTGTTCCACATTATGTTTGGAAAATTCACGTAAGTCATTGGGTGGAACTGCAGTTGATTTATTCTCACTGTTGAAGAGCTTTCCATTACAAGAAAGTATTATATATTTATCAATCCATTCTATTGTTTCTGGATACTTATTTCCAGTGTCGAGCTATTACAAATATGGCTGCTGTGAACATTGTATACAAGTCTCCTGATACACCTGTATGCACAATTCTATTTGGTACATACTCGCAGTGGAATTGCTGGGACATATAAAACCAAAAAAAAAAAAAAAAAAAAAAAAACCACTGCCATCGAGTTGATTTTGATTCGTAGTACGCATAACACCAACTTTACCAGATACTGCCAAACAATTTACCAGTATGTTCAAGTTCCTGTAGCTCTGATCTCATCAACACTTGGAATCATTAGTCTTTACCTTTAGTCATTCTAAGGAGTTATGGTGGCATAGTGGGTAGGGTAAGTCTGCTAACCGAAAGGTCGGCGGTTCGAACCCACCAGCTGCTCCATAAGAAGAAGATGAGGCAATCTACTTCTGTAAAGGTTTACAGCCTTGGAAACTCAATGGGGGTTTGCGATGAGTTGGAGTCGACTTGATGGCAGTGTGTTTAGTCATTCTGGTGGGTGAATACAGGTATCTTGCTGTGGTTTTAATTTGCATCTCCCTGATTACCAGTGAGGCTGAGCACCTTTGCCTATGTTCATTGCTCAGGAGGATTTCTTCTTTGTCAAGTGCCTATTTGAGTCTCTTGCCCATGTTTTTACTGACTTGTCTTTGCCTTACTGATCAATAGCAGTTTGGGGAGCAGGTAGTCTGAAGGATATGTGTTGCAGATACCTTCTCCCAATCTCTACTATGCCTTTTCATTTCCTTAATCTATCTTTTAAAGAACAGATACTCTTCATTTTACATAGTACAATTTATTAATACTTATTAAAATTCATTTGAAAAACCTTTCTCTATCCCAAGATCATGAAGACATCCTCCTTTCCCTGGCACTTTGCAGTACAACATCTGTTTGGACTCTATTCTGTCCCACTGGTTGACTTTCTATAACCTGGAACCAAACAAATCCTTTGGTGGATTCCTGCAGGAATCTTTGAATGGGCTTGGACCTTCCAAGGCCATTATATTTTAAGGACCCCTAATGGAGCAGTGGTTAAGCTCTTGGTTGCTAACCCACAAGCCGTTTTGCAGGAGAGTGATGTGGCAGTCTGCTCCCATAAAGAGTACAGTCTTGGAAACTGTATGGAGAAGTTCTACTCTATTCTATATGGGTCACTAAGAGTTGGAATTAACTCAATGACAGTGGGTTTTAGGTCAAATTTGATGTAATTATCAGGGTCTGGGAGCCACAGTGAATCTTGTTATGCTTTTAACAGGAATCCTGTTATGCTTGTTATAGCCCGAGAGGAAAACTGTGACTTTCAAAGTTGAATCGACTCTTCTAGGTGAAGGCTTTAAGATTTGGTGGAAGGTGGTCAAGCAGGCCATGGCCAGGATGGGACAGGAGGGCCAGTGAGGTGAGGTGTAATGGACTAAGCCTGTAGTGTATGTGGGATGCTGAGATGGGCTCTGAGCCTTCAAGGGTGGGGTCTACCCCTGCCTGGACTATTTTTGTTACTCCAAACCTGGGTGGGCAAGAAGGATATCCATGGCTCATGTGACAGGGCCTGACCAGCCTGAAGGCTCCAGGTCTCTAGGTTCCACAGAGTTGGTGGCCTCGCCCTCCCAGCATAGTGATCCCAGCTAAAAGCTCTCTTCACGATGACCCCACGTGAACACCAGCCTACAGAGTCAGTGATTGTACTGCTGGGAGCCATCTTTCCTTTCTTTTGCCCCTCATGTCCAGATCATCAACAAAATATGACAGCTACACTTCTGACCTTTCTTCATTATCTCCTCCATTCCCAGGCCAGTCTATGCCATGTCACTTCTTATCCAAGATTGCCACAGCCTGCTGTATCCACTCTTGCTCTCTGTGGTCTATCCTTCACATGGCAGCTAGAGGAATCCTTTTAAACAGCTAAGCCATGAGGAGTTCTGGTGGTGCAGTGGTTAAAATATCTGGTTGCTAACCAAAAGGTTGATGGTTCAAACCACTAGCTGCTTGGGAGGGGAAAGATGAGGCAGTCTGCTTGTATAAAGATTTGTTGTTGTTATGTGCCTTGGAAACCCTGCTGGGCAGTTCTACTTTGTCGTATAGGGTTGCCATGAGTCAGAACTGACTAAATGGCAGTAGGTTTGATTTGGTAGTCAGGTCATGTCACTCTGTGGGTCCACAAAAGAGTCAGAACAAAATCTGAAATTCCCACCATGGCCTTCAAGGCTCCAGTGATCTCTCTCACCTCAGGTCCTAGGCCTTCCTGATATTCCTCGTGTTCTCATGACTCATTCCCACCTAAGGACCTTTGCATATGCCAGTCTTTCTGCCTGAATGCTCCTCCCCCCAGTATCCCTTTGGCTCTTCTGGTCACATCTCACTGCTTTATTCTGCTTCATTGCATTTATCATCCCTTGACATTCTATCACATATGTACTGCCACTCAAAAATGGAAATAACATGAGGGCAGAGGCACCATCTATCTTGGGTATCACTGAATTCCTAGTACTTAGAGTAGTTGTTAGGTACTGTTGAATTAATTTTGACTCATAGCAACCCCATATAACAAAGTATAACTGTTCCACAGGGTTTTCTAGAATTGAATCTGGTACATTTTAGGCACTCAATACATGTTTGTAAATGAATGAGGAAGCAAATAAATAGCAATCTTCATTTCAAACTAGGGACAAGGAGTGTGTCCTCTGGGCAGGGCAGAAGCCCTACCTGGCTGAAGCAGGGCAGGGTGGAGAGGAAGGATGGTCAGGATCAGGAATCTGACATGAACCCCTAGGTGCCTGCAGCTCATTTCCAGCCAGAAGCTGGACCATGTGGGACCACCTCATACCCTCTAAGCATGCAGGTGAAGGTCTGGACACAGTAGGCAAATACACACAAGCCAGAAATCTATGGTCAGAAGAGGGCATATTTATAAAAAGCAGATCTGGTTTCCCTTTCCAAGGCCTGCCTGGTACACAGGTGAGGGCTCCTGAGGGTGAGTGGCAGAAGTGGGAGACACTGTCAGCCAATAGCTTGGGACACAGCTGACCAGTTCCAAGGAAGAGGGGCCTGGTGGGCTTAGCAGGTGAATGAGAAGGGCAGAATTACCTGGAGACAGGGGTTCAAGAGGGCAAGCATGCAAGCTACGGGCAGTACCTCTGCCCAGAGGGGCCCAGATGACCCGGCGGATGGCCCGCACCCAGTCTTCCATGTCACTCTGGGAGCTGGCCATGAGCAGGAAAGCCTCGTGGTTGGCCGGCATCTTCTCCCGCTCCCCAGCACCACCTGCAAGACAGGAAGACAAGTGGCTCACTGAGAGGTCCCTGTGTATGTGAGTGTGTGTGGGGGGGAGGGGTCACCCCCCCAGCACTCTCTCCAGCCCCCAGTTAGCTAACCCTATAAAACTTTTCACCAGTGGCTGTGCTTATGGGTTCTATTTTTGCAGCCCATTCCCTATCACCCTACAAACTCCTTTTGGGAGCCCTTCTTGTTTTTCTCTCTTCTTCCTTTGTCTCATTTTGTTATTTTTCCTAATCAAAATAGAATCATTGGAATAGATAAATAAACTATGGTACATACACACAATGGAATACTACGCAACACTGAAGAATAATGATGAATCTGCAAAAGACCTCAGAACATGGATGAACATAGAGGACATTATGCTGAGAGAAATTAGTCAATCACAAAGGACAACTATTGTATGAAAAACTACTATAAAAAGTTAAGAAAAGGTTTACACACAGAAAGAATCATTTTTCAAAGGTTACCAGGGTAGGAGAGGAAGGAAGGGTAGATCACTAGCTCCAGGGTAGACACTATTAATTTGGGTGAAGGGAAAGGCAATATACAATAAGGGGGACATTAGCACAAAATGATCAAGGTAATGGAAGACACAAGGAGGAACACAAGAGTTAAAGGCAACAAAGGTAAATATGATTACACACACAATCCTGCAATGACAGTAATGATAATAATTTGCAAGTGAATACATAGCTAGATACTCAATCTGAACAGGGGTGGGAAGGTGAATGGGACTACCCATGAATATATATAGGTTCGACAGAGAATATCTCTACATATGTATTTATATGTGCTGCCAGTATATCCCTATAGTAGAGCATACAGGAGGCAAGGTTATGAAAAGTCTTAGTCACAAATACCTTGAGGGAATGAGTCATTGGATATGGAGGCTCTGGACCATAGTCTCAAAGGTCACGAAGGTCAACTGGCACTAGATAGTCCACAAAGACAATGTTCTACATCCTACTTTGGTGAGTAGTGACTGAGGTCTTAAAAGCTTGTGAGCAGCCATCTAAGGTACATCTATTGCTCTCTCTGGAGCAAAGAAGACTGAAGAAAATCAAATAGGCAAGGAAACAATTAGTTCAAAGGACTAATGGATCCTGTGAACACCAGCTTCCATAACTCTGAGACCAGAAGAAGTAGATGGTCCCTTACTACCACAGCTGATTACTCTGAAAGATACCACAATAGGAGCTTCCAGATAAAGCAGGGTGAGAATGAGGAACAAAGCTCAAAATCGTGAAAAAGACCAGGCTTACTGTCTGATAAAGTCTGGTGGAACCTCCTTGACTATGGCTCTTAGCGATCCTTCAATCTAGGAATTGAACTTAACTCCCGTGACTCAACTGTCAGCCAAACAGCCCTATAAGGCAATATAACAGTAATATCAGGAAGGAATGCACTCAGAACAATCAAGCATATGAGATCAAGAGGACAGCATTTGCCTAGGTATAGAGCTAAGAAGGTGGGAGGGGATGGGAAGGAAGTATGAAGGGAAGTGGTGGGTGCAAGGAGGAAGTGGGAAGAAAGCTATTACAGTGTGGGGATTGCAGTAAATGTCACAAAACAGAATGTGTATGAATTATTGAATGGAAAACCAATTTTCTTTGTAAACTTTCACCCAAATCACACACACATACACACACACACATAAAGAATCAAAGAATCTTGGGAACAACTGTTGTTGTTGTTAAGTGCCGTCGAGTCGTTTCCGACTCATAGCGACCCCATGCACAGCAGAACGAAACACTGCCCAATCCCGCGCCAGCCCCACAATCCCTGCTATACTTGAGCCCATCATCGCAGCCACCGTATCAATCCATCTCATTGAAGGCCTCCCCCT